TTTTTCTTTTTTTTTTATGAATCCCTTTGTTTCAAAATAACATGCTTTATTCCTCACCTTATTTATATAAGCTCTATGTAATTGTTTTGTCCTTCCTAAAAGGCTTAATGCCAATAAAAATACTTGAACTTTATTAAAAGAGTCATTTTCATCCTTTTACTAAAAAAAAAAATCATAAAAATCCCTCACTTTTGAGAATGGGTCAAGCCTCATCCATTCATCGATGGACGTCATAATGCCGTCCATCCATCAATAAAAGGTAAAAACTTACTTTTAACCCTTTACCTTAATAAGTTTGTAGGTTTTAGCCCCCCACTTTGTACTATGACACTTTTAGCCCCTCACTCATACAAATTGAAGAAAATAGCCTTTATTTAATGTTGTATTAGCTGATTGTTAGTTCTGTTAGCTGACTATTGGCCAACTGTTAATTTTTTGTTATAGAAAATATAAAATTTAAATTCAATTTTATTTATTAGTTCCATTAATGGAATGCTAATAGTCAGTTAACAGAGTTAATAGTCAATTAATAGAACTAACAGTCAGCTAACAAAACTAACAGTCAGTTAACAAAACTAACAAAATGTTATAACTTAACGTTAAGTAAAGGTTATTTTCTTCAATTCGTATAGGTGATGAGCTAAAAGTGTCATAGTATAAGTTGAGGGGTTAAAACCTTCAAACTTACTAAGGTAAAGGACTACAAATAGGTTTTTACCTCAATAAAAATCGTCTAAATTTTAATGGAAAATAACATTGTTGGTCCCTCAACTTTAAGTCCTTGTGCACTTTGATTGTCAAACTTTAGATTTATTCATTGTAGTTTATGATTTTAACTTTTTTTATTGCAATTTATTCCCTAAACATTTGAAAGATTTGCACTTGTTGGCCTTAATTTTGATGTGTGAAAACATAATGTAAATGTTGGATTGATTTATACATGAATTGGTTTTTGTAAAAGTCACATTTCAATAAATGTTATTATTATGTTAGATTGACTTATACTTTGAGAATAGCTAATTTTTGAAGTTTGAAGACTTAACTTTAAATACAAGTAATGGACCCTTTAAAGAAGAACAAGAGTGAGTGCGCTCAATTATTCAAGAAAAGAATAAAAGTATTCTTCATCATTTGAACAACTAGAGTTAATATTTTAAATATTCGATTTTAGAGAGATCATTTTTGCACTTTCAATTTTTTCTTACTTGTAATAGTTTGATAGTACCTGTAAGTTGTTGGGAGAATTGCGACTCACTCCCTCCATCAATGGTTGAGTAAAATGTAATCCGCCTTCACTTTTCTATTTATTCCATATGAAATTGGGTGTAAATATCTCTATGAATAGAATAGTCAATTCAATGGTCAGGTTTTTAAATTATTGATTGTACTAAAAATTATGGACATGTGTAATTATTCCTTATTGTTACCACTAGTGTAACTTGATCCCTTCTTTTACACTTGTGTTCATATATATATATATATATGCATCTAATGTATATGCATAGTATATAAGTTAACTTAAATATGTGTTGTGGTTGAGGGTTGATGAGTCAGCAATATAAAGATGATGTGGAAGCTAACTGGGATGCCTCGTGTGAAAATGAGGAAGGTTTCTTTGGTTTACATCCATTTCACGTGCAAGAGGATACATGCCATAAGTTATCTTCTCTAACAAGGGTGAGCGACTTGATGTCTCCAACAGAATCTAAAAGTGAACCTTCTCTAGCAAAGCCAAAAAAGCTAGATGGTGATGATGCCTTGAAGTTAGTGTTGAAAGTACAGTAATTTCCTTCTCCAAATTTGTGTATGCAAGAAGAAATAAACTAAAGAGTAATGATGGGGAGAGTAAGAATGACTATTGTGGAGGCTTTTGATGGAGGACTTGATCCTATATGTTGATGCTAACTTTGCTACTTATTGATCCTTTGAAGCTTAAGAAAAATAACCTAGGACCTTAAATTGTGATGTGAAATTTTTGGCCACAATGAATTATATGTCTAGAGGGTAATTTGTGTGGTTGAGAATGTAGAAAATTGAGGTTTCTGAGGAGCATATGCATGTATATGAGCTTAGAAATGAAGAGGAAATGAGTTGCTACAAGTTTGGGGAATTTTAGTCAGGGAGTCAAGTGGTTGAAGATGAAGATGTGTGACAAAATGTGTTAATTTGGTGTGTTTTGTGTTTTGCTGAAAATGAAGGAAAATGTAAATATATATAGGTAGTGGCATTTTGGTAATTTTGGGTTTGTAGGGCCAAAGTAGCCTAGCAATCCAATGGTTAGATTTGTGTTAGGTAAGGATAAATATTAAGTTTTAGGATAATCAAGGCACTTTTGATAGGTTTTGATGTGTAATTATGGTTTCTTCAACTTTCTAGTAAAGAATAACTAATCTGCTAGAGCCTCCCATTCTTAGTAACTTTAGATCTATAAATAATATCAAATTTGGGGTGCAATTGAATATTGTTGGCAAATCTTCCTCTATCCAAAATTTTGATAGATTTTTTAGATAAAGTGTAATTATTTTTGTGAATTTCATATATAATGAAACTCATGCAGTTGTTCATGCATTAAATATAAGTGCAAGCTAGTGATGGAGACTAAAGTGGCATCTCTAATTGATATTCAATGGGATTTCAATTCTTCTAGTTAGTATCAAACAGTGTAGTTTTGGGATCAAGTTTGCTTCCACAAATTTGTCACCCATCCCTTTCTTGCAAAAACGAGTAGCATTGCTAGCCCAAGCTTGACTAATACGAATATTAGACTTTGCCAAGGGGGTAATGTTAATCCACCCATGCCTACCAAGCCACTCCCATAGTTTATTCTGATGTATCCCATGAGCTTGGGTCCATGGGTTCATTGATAACCTACATATAAAGATAGTGATCAATTGATGAAAATGATAAAATTTGATAAGTAAGGAAATAATAAAAGAAAGAGACTTCCTTGCATATGTTTGGCGCATCTATGTATTATAGCATTGGATATGGCAAGGCCCTTTGGCAAATGCATGTTGAAGGCAACAATGGGCACTTCACTCCAAAACATGTTGATATTTGCAATAGCTAGTGGTGTTCAATCTATAGGTGTCTAATGATTTCTACATCAATACATTCTAGAATTGTTTAAGTTGAGTATGTTTGAGCCATGTCAAGTTAATGATAACCAGCTTCAATAAAACCTAAATAGTATGGCTGGGCACTATGATTGAAGCAAGTCTTAATGATGTGGAAATTACCTGAACTCGAATTTGACCCTTTACAAAAATATGCATCAACAATATGTATAAGCAAAGAATAAACAACTTTTCCTACTTTAATGCATGTTTTCTTATTCTTAGTTCATCTTAACTTAAGTGTGTTTGGTGTTAGTTTGCCACTAAATTGTCTTGGTATCTCAATTGAAAAAATTTCCCTTTTTGTCTCTCAAATTTATTTTCTCATTCTATTTTTTGTCCATCAATTAAAAAAATAAAAAAACTCTTTTTGTTTCTTTAAAATTATTTTCTTAAACTAGTTTATAGTCCATTAAAATTATTTTCCCAACCTCTTTTTGCTCCCTCAACAACTTAATAGAAGGACCAAAAGGAGAACGGGAAATAATTTTTAGGAACTAAAATGAAGATTCATTTAGTTAGGGGACAAAAAAGGACTTCACACAAAAGTTGAGGGACCAAAAGAATATATTTTTAATTGAGGATTAAGAAAAGGGTCTCGTAGGTTTTCTTTACCAAATTTCTTGGTGTATTAGTTTTTTATTTTTATTTCTTTTTATTATTTTGAAAATATATAAAATATTAATCAAAATAAATATTAAATATATTAACTATATTTTCAGAATGTTAGAGATAAAAAAATAACAATCGCGACAATTAGAAACCAACACTTTCAATATAAGTTGTTGTCTATACCGAAGTAATTTAGGGGAAAAAAAAACAACAAATTCATGATCTTTTCCCTAGTTATCTATCAATAAGTCCATAATAAAAAAATTAACCTTGATTCTTCTATTCAAAAAACAAAATTTTCTTGAACTTTTCCAAGTTATCTGTCAAAAATAAGTGCATTGTAAAAAATAATGATACCACTAGATTTCTAGCTTTTCCTTTTGTTTTAATTTGGGAAAACGTTTGCTTTTTGATTTCATGCAAGCTAATCAAGAATATTGACAATCTTCTTCTCTATAACCATATTTCTTTGTCTTCTCTGGTTTCTTAAAAATGTTACAAACCGGTTTGATCCAATTGATCTTTATCCTTAAATATCTTATTTTATAAGATCTTTTTATAAGTAAGAAGTGTGATTAATATATAATTGTAAATTTTTTATTGGAATAAAAGAGTTGTGCGTTTCACAGCATCCAATTTTAACAGGACTAGAATCAAACAATTTTGATGACAAGATAAAAGGTTTCAAGTTTTTTTTTTTTTTTTTTCTTTATTTATTTTTTATTTTTCCTTTTTCTTGAGAGTGAAAGCTCAACAATGTGTTATTACAAGGAAACCTCGAACTGGTTCTTGAAAAAATCATTGTTATTCATGGGAACACTGGCATGCAAGGCAAGCCACCGCCCCGAAGGGATGTGTACCTACAAGTTTGGCTCGGTGTTCAAATCCTAAGACTAGGGGACCACGCACGACCGTCGAGTACTCATTTCCTCCTACCCCCTCCGCTACCTCCCTTCTCCCCCTCCTGTCTCTAAAAAGAGAAGAGAAGTTGATAAAAGAGAGGAGAGGAGATAAAGATATAAATCAGCTTCAGAATTAATTAAAAGATGGATATTGATATATGCATATGACACTGTGGCTAATACAAAGCATCTGAGCTGATTCTTTACAAAAAAAAAAAAGGCACATTAATTATGGTCTGTGACCCACCAAATAATAAACTTAATTAGTTTAAAACACTAGATATAATGCAGGGAGGAAGGTGAAAAGAAAAAGGCAAGTGGAAATCCATCAAATTGTTATTTTGATACCTTTAATGAACAAAAAAGGGGTGACAGTACAAGTGCTTTAATGGGTATCCAAAGCTTCAACTTGAAGATTAAGATGAATAACTAAACAGCAGAAAGCATCTCAGTTTTCATAGAACATTACACAAGAAATTGAAGATTATATATATAATGTGAATCTGTAATACCCTAAATGGTTAACAGTTTTACATGATGAAATCCAGGAGGACAAAAAATAAAAGTACTTAAAAGTAAGAACTCAAAAACATGATTAATTATCTCAAGCTTCAATTTCAAACCTTGAACATTTGATGGAGCCCATGGAGATGTCAATCTCAATCAAGTTGTCTTCCTCATTCACCTCATTATTCAACTCTGATAGCAGCTGCATTAGACTTCTTTGCTGGAAAATTGATTCTGGCAAGGTCCGGTATTCTGGGAACTTGGGTTGCATACTCAGCTTATTAGGCTGCTGCTGGATTTCCTTTCCATGATTCACATAGTGTCCACTAGGGAGGGAGATTTCAATGAGGCTATCCTCATCGGAAATAGATCCATCATCTGAGTAATCTGGGCTCCGGTCAGCTTTGTCCCTGAAAGGCCAATCCATTTCTGAATCCTCTGTGGTTGATAGCTGATCCAGGCACTCAATTTCTGATAGCACATCTGGGGAACTCACCAAACTGTCATGACTTTGGTGCTCAGCTTCTCTTTCAAAGTCCTTTGCTTGTATGGTAGTAACTTCACTTCTCTCTGTTTCAGTCTCTTCTTTTGGTGCCAAATTCTCCCTTTGAGATAAACTGACTTCCTTTTCTTTGACTGGTTTCTCCTCGAAGCATGGCTTTCTCCTTGAAAAGATGAACAGAAGAATGGACAAAACCAAGGCTATAGAGGTGAGGAGGAAGGAGAAGGAACTAGAAAGCATCAGAAAAGCAGAAAACATGATCACTGGAGTAAGAACAACTATCCATGGATAAGGATTGTTGCCAAAGAACGAAGGAGATGCCATGGAACTAGGAGAAAGGTCTTATATGCACAAAACCCCCAAAAAACCAAAAGTTACTAATCCCTTTTTTGGATTGGAAGATCTGGAAATGGAGAAAGAACTAGTACAATATGAAGCAGGATTGAAGTGCTTCTGCAGCTTGCTATTTCCTAGTGGAAAATTTGTACTCATAGATCAAAAAGGAACATACCCCAGAAGAAAGAAAGCCAGTTTGAATAAATAGCAAACACAAAAATGGCAAGGAGAAGGGGATACCAGTGTGAGAGCTTGCTGAATTGTGCTTATAGATTTGAGGAAGAGCAGGTAACTCAACAGGTTGGCATTGAGGAAGCAAGTTAATTATTAAGAAAATGGAAGAAGGTACTGATTTAACTATGGATTTGCCATAAAACTAAACTCCCGTGCTGTTTCTCTCATCACAGTTTCCCAAACCCTCCATTGAGTTCTCATTAAAAAAATTGGGGGTTTTCTAAGTTGCTAATACAAAACCAGGTGGTCATCCTCTCCTGCAGCCTGATTCTCTTGAAAAGCACAAAACCCCCGTTTTCCCTGTATTGATTTACAGTCTCAAAGCTTGGGAATGAGAGAAAGCCATGTGCAGACATCTGAGCTCACCACATGGCACTTTCCTTCCAAATTGAAAGGGTTAAGAAAACAGAAACTCAGAAACAGACAACAAGGGACTTATTATATTGGACTAATTTCTTCCTCTGCCATCAATCTACCTGCCACCCGAAAAACCAAAATTCAATAACCCTAGCTAGTTATAAAAAACCAGAAATCTCCATACCTAAAACTTCATAAAAGAAGGAAAGAATAATATATACTGACCCACCAATATCTTCAAAAATTCAAAGCCCGGCAACCCCATTAGAGCCAGAATTTGATTTCAGAATTCTCTGAACATGCCTCCGACATTGAACTTCATGGTTGCCAGAGAAAACCCATAAATTATCAGACCTTGAAAAAACCAAAGATTAGAACTTTACATGCAATCTTGAAAGATTGGTGATATTCACATGTTTCTGGACTGATGGAGGATTCAATGGAAGTCTGCTAGTGTAGTGTGAGCATAAAAAGGCTAGTGAGGGGAGAGGGAAAGTAAAGTGGAGATTTCCTAATTGAAAAGAATATGAAATCCAATTTCAAAGTGTGCATGAATCTGATAAAAAGAAAAAAAGTCTGTGTATCCCTTGTAAATAAAGTTGAGAAAAGTATAAATAACGCACAATTTTAATGTTAACACCAGATTCATCTTCTACCCCTTTTCTATTAAGTTGACACCTTGGCCTTATTGCTACTGAAAATAAGTTCATGTTCCCAGTAGCTTGTGTGTTGAAAATCTGCTTAGTTCGTGTAATGTTCTCATTATATTGAAATCATATTTATTCAAATAATTATTAATTCATATTCATATTCTTATTAACAACTAAGTGAGGATTTTATTTACCAAAAAAAAAAACTAAGTGAGGATTTTATTGCACTTTAACGAAGGACTTCCCCCGGCGCATCCATTTAAGTGTACGTAGGGCCGGCCTCTTTTGCCCAGCTCATTTGGCTTTCTTTTTCTTTTTCCCTTTTTTTTTTTTTTTTTGGGTGTTGTTGATAGGAGTAAATAGGTTAAATCCTTAAATTTACCCCCAAAATAGAGAGTAAAGATGGATGTATAAAATGTGCTTTTATATTGTTATTGAGATAAATAATTTATTATTTAATAATTAACATCAGCACATGCTAGTTTTTTTTATTAAATATTGGTTTAAATAACAAATAAAACTTTATAATAACTTTAACTGTTAAATAATAAATTATTTTTTTAATATATGATTTAAATTGATAATTTATTCTTAATTCTATTCAAGAACTGAGGGTTTGACCTAGTAAGTAATAGTCATCTTTTTATACATGTGAAGAGGAAACAAATTAACTAACTAGTGGGGAAAAAAAGCAAGGCCCATCATAACCCTTTCTACTAAAGCATTCAATCCATGAGGCCGAAAGTAAATAATAGTTATAATTGTTAGTAGTTGATATCTATAATTAATATATTGTTTGAAATCAACTTATAATGACATATTTACAAATACTCTCTAGACAACTATATGAAGGTAAGCATCTACAGGCTATCATTATTAGCTAAACCAAACATACACTTATTTTATTATTTTATTTCTATCCCTTTGATATCTACATTAAGACTGCAAACTTTATAACAATTTTAATCTGAAATGATTGTTACATATAGTAAATACTTTTTTCTTTGTTCTCATTGCATAATAAGAAGTACCTCTATGTACCCAAAAAAAATTTTTTTTTTTCATTTGTTAAATCATTTTATTCTCATATGTGCAACTTGAATTTAGAATTTTATATTTAAAAAATTACTATTAAATTATTTAAAATTATTAACTAATACTTATTATTGTAAATAAGTTAAGTTTCTTAAAACTTGAATTCATGCTTGATGCAATAGTATCAAATCAAGTTAAATTCAAGTTTATATCGAGTTCAAATAGACCAAGTTCGAATTCAACTAGTGAGCTCAAGCTCAACTCCCAAAATCAAAATTGTGAGCTAGAGCTCAACTTGCGAGCTCAATCAATTACTAGAATTTAATTTAATATTTAAATAAAAATAAAAATAAAATTTTAAATATTTAATATAAATAATTTTTTTTAATAAAGCTGATTTAAGTTAAGTTAAGTTGAGCTAAGTTTTAGATTCAACTCAAATTCAACTTAACTTAATTTTTTGACCTTAGGTTTGAGTTCAAATTCAAACTCAAGTCAAATCAAGGCTAACTTAAATATCTTACTCACAAATAGTTCAACTTATTTATAACTCTATTAATACCTTGGATTTTATAAAAATTTTGATTCATAAGTAAGCTTATGCTCAATCAAAGGTTTCAGCGGTTGCATCCTAAATCCCTCTTTATATTTGA